GATTGATCGAGTGATTGATTGATCGAGGTTTTGATTGATTGAGTGATTGATCGAGTGATTGATTGATCGAGTTTTTGATTGATTGAGTGCGTAATTGAGTGATCTAGCGATTGGTCGATTGATTGTCAAGAATCTAAGCTCTATCTTACTTTTTGCACTATTGCAACTCTAACTAACTAATAATTTGAATTTTGTTAGACAACCGACCACCTTCCATTACGTTATCACCTGAAGTGATAAGGGTTACCGCTGGTCAAATGATAAAAATAAACGTCACAGTTACTGATCTTGACAACGACCCAATAACAAAGTTAATGGTCAACGGACTTCCAGCACAGGGCGCAGTCTTTACAAACACAACTCCTACTGGCGTTCTTACCTGGACACCGCCTGTTAACTTAACGACACTCACTGTGACTTTTGTGGCTACAGATTCCAAAGGTTAGTGATCTCTCGTCAGTTAATAGTGTTAGATGCATATTCGTAGGACAATGTATTTTGATGTCTTGAAAATCCGCGCAATTTGATTGTGGGATAACACCTGTACCTTATGTCACCACCATTTAGTGCACTACAACCGCGCATTAAAACTTAATTCAAAATTTCGATTTCAATTTTTTAATGATTGTTCGATCATTAGGTGCGGCAACTACTTCAAGTCCTTCCATTCTCTACTGTGACTGTAAGAACAATAATACTTGTAATTTTGAGACCATTGAAGAGACTTACGCAAACAGCTCCGTACAACTGGTTGGATGTAACTGCACAGATCAGTACACAGGAGACCAATGTGAGACGGAGGTCAACCCGTGTGACGAGGGTGCATGTTATGACAACGTCACGTGTACCGTGATAAGGAATCCATTTGGTCGCAGATGTGGACCCTGTCCTGCTGGTCTTGAAGGGGATGGTATAGTTTGCAACGGTATGACTTCCATTTAGCTACGTCTTAAATTCAATTTTATCTATAACGGTGTTTTGCAATAATGCTGTAAAAGTCTGTAATAACTATATAAGCATATCTATAAGGGGATGCATTGTGGGTAATTTCCACTGGCATATTTGATATCTTATAACCTACTTTGAAGAAAAATACTGGGGACGGTCAGTTTATAGTATCTTTATATATAGTATTTTTGTCACCGACTAGCTGTAAGGATTTTTTGTGCTAAAACAATCAATGAAGCCGGGTTTTGTGAGTATAGAAGGCGACCATGTGTCAGTCTTTAAAGATAAAAAGAGTTTAGTTTCTACATAATGTAATAATCAATTCCTTTGCTGTGCATAGATTTTGACGAGTGTATTAATTCTTCGAGAAACAATTGCACCGAAATGAGTGAAAACTGTGTCAACACAATTGGTAGCTTTAGATGTGATTGTAAACCTGGATATGTTCGAAATGCAAAAACCAAGAAATGTGACGGTAAGAGATCGCACTAACTGTATTAGTTTCAGAATTAGTTGCAGAATGATTAGTTTATAAAAATATCCCTTAAATCAAAGACAGCGAATGGTAATGTCCAGATGGGTATACTGATTTGTTATATTGAAATGGGTTTGAGCGCTCTGATTGGCTACTCTATTACAAGGATATATTAATCTTATCACGTTAGTAGAGAAAAAAAATAGAAAAGAAAAAAAGAAATGAAAGGGAAAAAAAAAGAAAGAAAAGAAAAAAAGAAAAGAAAAAATCAGTGGATTTAAATAAAAAATAGAATGAAATAACATAAGCAAAAACGAAATAAGAGCAATGTACTACCAAATACCTCAAGCTTCAAAATATATTGATAAAGAACTTATTTTATTTTTCTTATTTGACTGCTACACGTAGTATCACTTTATTCCAAAAAGAACATTAATGTTAATCATATGAATTGTACTTAACTTGATGCATTTCTTGACTGAAAAGGAAGTTGTGTTTTTAGATGTTAATGAGTGCAATTCGCAATTTGCGGACAATTACAAATGCAAGACCAATACAGACTGCAAAAACACCAATGGAAGTTACAGTTGCTCTTGTAAAAAAGGATTTAAAGGAGATCCACTCGTAGGATGCTCAGGTATACGAAAGTAGCTTATTTTTATTAACTTTCCCGGGAGTTGGTAGATTGGGATGGAATCCGGAGAAGATTATATGTAATCATTGGATTAAATACTGGATTAAATACTGTCTGATGAGTGCGTAGCACGAAACTCGGAGTTACAGCAAAATCTTGCCTCTTTGATATTATATATATGTAATCATTGGTATATACTCAAAATATCCCTTAAAAGATACCAGCTTTGTTTTCCAAGAGAGCTTATAATAGATCATTTGCAAATGTTAACACCAAAAACTTGGAAACTGAAAAATCAACGGTGTCAGAGTCTGTGCTTTTTGGCCAAAAATACTGACTTAATGAAGTGGAAAACTTCATGTTTGGTTCACTTCTCAACCCTTCCACCCCTCCCCCCTCCTGATAAATATTGCGCAGTCCCTTAAATGTATTTTAACCCCTAGGCGAGCATACTGGCCTTCCCCTCAATCTCCAGCCCCACCCTTGTCTTCCTTCCCCCTACATATTCCGGTTCAACCCACGATGTTCTTTCTTCCCCAAGTGTTCAACTTCCCACCTAATAAATTGATGAATCAATTAAATGTTGGTATGATACGTATCTTAATATTACGCATATAAATTATTAGATATTAAATTATCTATATATCATTATTGGAATCATCACAATCATCATTATCATTTCACTATTAGTTGCGCGGTGAATTTTGTAATTTACTGACAGAAGTACTTGAATTTCCTTTTAAGATATCGATGAGTGTAATGGTGCAGACAGAATATGCTTCGGCTTATGTGAAAATTCAGTTGGTTCATTCAACTGCTCATGCTCTGCTGGATACAAATTGAATACGGAAAACAAAACATTATTATCATGCGAAGGTACGGATTTTAGTTTGATATGAATCGCGGTTTTTTGTTTTAAAAAATATCCCCACATTGTATTGTACTGGCTTCCAAAAATGCTCCCTCCAAATTTTGGTCTTCCTGTGTTATGAACCGTTTTGCAGGAGTCTCGACCCGAGGAGGTTTTGATGCAGCGTAGACTAGTTTTGTTTTTATATTTTGTTATTCTGTTGAAGACAAGGTTATTTGTGACATCGATCACACGCACTTCGGTTTTTCCTCACTTTGAACGCTGTGACTTTGTTACACACAGACAATGGAAGATAAAAAATGGATCGCGATTTATGAAAAACCCCAGATATCGTCGACTGCACAAACAGATTGACTTTGATGTAGCCTTGTAGGTGTGATATGATCGTCCGGGTGTAAGAAGTCTTGTTGAGGAAGACTGTTATCAGGTAGTGACGAATCGAAATCCTTCATGGAAGCCATGGCTTTTTGCTCTGAAGACTTCCACGCAGGATGTCGAAACGTCAGGAGCTATAACAATCTTCCTCAAGAAACGTCAGGTAACCATAACGGTCTTAAGACTTCTCACACCCGGGCGAACATATAGGATATAACACCTACGTCGCTTACACCTGGACACAGTGTTCAGACTATTCACTCTCAGATTGACTTTCTTTCGCTTGTAAAAGTTCCGCAGCTTTAGTTAACAAAATAAACCTCCCAAACGCTGCTCCATTCATGTAAAGATTTAATTTGTGATGCATTTAAATAGATATCGACGAGTGCAAGTTTTCGACGGACAACAACTGCGATCAAGTCTGCGTTGACAATGAAGGATCGTACAATTGTACGTGCAAATCCGGTTTTAAGCTTGGAAACGACGGCTCTTCGTGCGTAGGTAAGTATAACAAGCATCTGCATATGTTCCCGAGTCGTAAATACTTAAAGCAGAAGCAGAGAAATAAGAAATTGGAACAGTTTTCATTTTATTATTTCCCTTGATTTAACACGTTTCAACACCCATGCTTGTGTTTCTGTTGCGTTGAAATGATTTCGATTGTATATTTCATTTGTCTTGGCAACCTGGCATCTATAGTTTTTTGGTGAGGAAGGTTTTACGAGCTGTTGTGAACACCAATTACAATCGATTGAAAACAAATAAAAACGGAAACAAAAAACACCAAAATTGTCAGCAACTCATTGTCTGTATTTATGCATTTATTATGGAGCACAAGATGTTTTACTAGAGTGAAAAAGATATTAGGTTATAAAACCATAGTTAATAGAGGGAGATGATCTCCCTCTACTAACTATGATAAAACGCAGAGAAATACTGCAAACTTGTCGCGCAACAAAAAACAAGTGATAAAAAGCGCGAAACACTGCTGCTAAACTTGAACAGGAGCAATGATGCACGACAAGTTTTTTTTTTGTATCGCGTATTTCTTGCCCAATGGGCTTAGTAACACTAAATTGAAATGATTTTCTTGGTACAGTTAAGACTGAAAATAAGTGTGATAGCACAAATGGCGGCTGCGAGAGACTGTGTACGAATTCATCTGGTACGGTGACATGCCATTGCCCACGTGGTTTCAACCTGTCAAGCGACGGTAAAAGTTGTATGGGTGAGTAACTTACTATTAATATAAATTTAGTTGAATTTTCTCACCTCTCACTGTATGTACTTGGAGATATTGTAACGATACACATTAAATAATGAACAATAATAGAAAATGTTTTACCCTTTGCAAGGTACTTCAAAACTACGGAGGACTCGAGATCCTTTTGATTGCATTCCTAATCCCAGTTGCTCGGATTCCTGCTACTGAATTTAATTTCGATTCTCGATTCCCATATTGCTGTGGATTCCGGGATTCCTAAATCCTTCAGGATTCTGGATTCCAGGATTCCTGATTACATACAAGGGGCTAAAGTTTACGCAGTGCTGTATCATGCATGCATTTTAATATATTTGAAGTTAATAAACTTGCCTTTTCAATTTGAATCAGATGTGAACGAATGTTTGACAAGCAATGGTGGGTGCAGTCAAAACTGTACCAATTACGATGGGTCATACAACTGCTCTTGTCGCAGTGGTTACAAGCTTAAAGGCGCGAGAATGTGTGAAGGTTTGTATTCACTCAAATCACACTATAGCCTGAATAGTGGCTCCTCGTCCACAGGGATCCCAAGAGGGCCGCTGCGCAGGCTAACTATAATATAGAGCGAATCTTCGAAGCCCTGTAGGAACCTGCTATTTAGTTAGTTTGATTGGTTGGCTTGACTAGTTTAGGTAGCCAATTTGATATCGGCTGTCCTTACTAGGATGACTGAGACTTGGCTAGTTGTTTGTATGGCGGTTGCGGGTTAACTATTAGTTACGTGGGCTTCCTGTGGAAGTCCACGTCTTAAAATGCAACTGGCGATTTCGT